AGATATGATGTTTTAAGTGGAAAATATGAAATCAACTCTCATCACTTTGCCAAAAGCAAATGGCTTGGGAATTCAGATTCCAAACTCTACTGCCAGGAACTTGCGGACGAGTGCATGCCTGCTCCAGGGCTGCCTTGAGCTATCCCAGTCAATGCACGCCCCCGAGGAGGACGAGGAAACCGGGGTGGTTAGCAAATACCAGTGAGAGTCTGGACTGTGGAGGGAGGCTGGCACACCTGCTAGGTAACTGCTCCATGGGCGTGGGGGCCCCTGGCAGGTTCAAAGGCACCAGCTGGGAACCAGGGAAGACACCGCCCACCAGGGTCCTTCCTGAGAGCTGTCTGTGGTGACGATGGCTCCGTGACAGCCGATGACGAGCGAATGCAAAGGGAACTGGGGGGACCTCGGGGGCAAAAAGCTTTTTTACCTAACCAACGCCATTGGCTTCGAAGGGGCCACTCTCGGTCCTCAGGTCTCAGCTGTTATCGGGAGTAGAACCAGGAGTCAGGGCAGGGAAGGGTATGGGAGGGACATGGATGATAACTGGCCTCTCTTTTTTCACCTCTGCCCCATTAGAGCTGGTGGGTGCTCCGGTTTCATACACCCTAGGATTTCCACCTTCCCAAGGATAACCTTGTACATTCAAAAAACTTGGAAATCCTTGCATAGTCTTTTTATTTTTTAATTTTTAAAATTTGCCATAAGGCATGTGCACTCACCAGAGACAGATGAGGAGAGCGACAGGGGAAGTGGGGAACACAAGCCTCCAGGTCTGGGATTTGAACAGTGGTCAGCTATGTGAGGTGCCCAGCAATGTAACCACTACACCACCTGCCGGCTCCCATCATTAATTTTCTAGAGGTGCATGCATTTGCCGGAGAGAGCCAGAAAGAGAGAGGGGGAAAGTGAGAAAGCAGGGATGGTCCCCCTCTTTCCAATGGGAAATGCGTCCTATTCCCAGGGGACCCTACATACTCTATGTTCCTGTGATCTGGTCACCAACGCAGTTGCTAAGTGACCAGTAGACCCATAGTGTTTACCGCGAGGATCTGCAGGAAAAGGGGTGATTGACGTCCAGCAAGGACAAGGAGGTTTTTATGGTGCTACCGAGAATAGCGCGCAGTATCGGACTTACGAATGGTCTGTTTCCAGAAGTTTCCGTTTGATATGTTCCGAGATGTGGTTGACCACAAATAAACGGACAGTGTGGAGAGTAGTGAAATCACAGATAAGCAGATAAGGGGGGGGGGACTCCTGTGCCGAGAATAGTGTGAATCACAGAGCGAACATTCGGGGGGCTAGCGGACCGGGTAGGGGGTAAGGCGCCGA